TAGCTGGAGCACATTCTGGTTAGATGGTTTTTCATTCTAGAGGTAATGGTGGTAATGTCACTGGACTAATAATCCAGTGGCCTAGACTAATGTTTTGGGGACATGGGTTCAAATGCTGGAAAAGTTTAAAATCAGTTAATAAATCAGGAATATGTCAATGATATTGATCATGACAATGACCGTCAATTGTTGTAAAAACCCATCTAGTTCATTAATATCTTTAAGGGAAGGAAACCACTACTGTTGCCCTCTGAAATGACCTAGTATGCCACTCAGTTCAAGAGCATTTAGAAGACAACAAATGGCAGTGCCCACATCTCATTAAAGAATAAAAATAAGGTTATTTGTAACTGTGTTGCTCAACTAAAGCTTTATTTTTCTACAAAAGATAATTGAATCTATTTGCCTTGCTTTCTTTTCTCATTATTGATTTCACCACTTCCCCATCCTTTATATTGGCAGTATTCATCTCTGTCTCTGATACTACAGTGTTAACCCATCATGGTGTGTTCATTGATGCACTGTCAAAAAAAAGGGACCTCTAACCAATTACCCTTCTGATCACCCATCCCTGAAATGTAATTGAGTCAACCTTTTGCGATCATTTTGATTAAAATGAAGTTGCAATGATTGCTGCATGAATGATCTTCCTTCTCTCCCATTTCAAGAGTTGACCTTTTCTCCCCTCCCCTGAAAGCGCCAACTCTTACACAACAGTACTAAGCACATATTTATTCATCGTGTTAAATCCACGAGTATAAAATTGAGAATAGGCAAGTTTACATAAGGTCATAGTTAGTAAAGTGATCAATGATTGGACATTACTGCCACGCTGATGTCCTTTCACTCAATATAAAACAGAAAATGCAGAAAATACTCAGCAGGTCTGTCAGTGTCTGTGGAGAGTGAAATTGACTCAATGTGTCAGGTCCATGTCTTTTCATCAGAACATGATCTTCCTTTGCAACTCCATAGTTTTAACATTGCCCCAGATTTATACTAGTCTTTACATAATTACATGAACAGTATTTTAGATGAATTTACAGTGAAATTACATCCATCTTTAATGTAAAGTGTCTCTTTAACTCAAATGAACTTAAATGCCTAAGGGAACAACTGTTATACAGAGATGACTGCTGCTAATTTTACTGTTCTCTTTTTGCAGTCTTTCTTTCCTCCAAAGCATCAACGCAGTACAATTTCATATGTAAGTTGAAAAAGAACCTTAACTACATGAAATCTATTTGAAGCATTAGACTTTCTATGTAGACAGTATTACTTGCCACAGGGAAGACTATTTCCCTTCCACTTGTGTCTCTTCAGTTTTCCATCTGCAATGAGTTGGAAAACAGACTTGTGGGAATATAGTGCAGATTTGTTTTACGCAAAACTGTGCTGCGTATTGTTTAATAATATATTAGAATCTACAAAAGAACTTAAAAAAAATGCCAGGAATAAACCATCCAGACCCTCAGGCCTACTAAGCCACTCAATTGTGCCCGAGCTGCAATATTCATTTCATTTCTCACCTCATTCCCTTATCCCTAGGTTTTCTTAATTCTCAACCATCTCTCAATGTAAATCTTGAATGCATTTTTGACTGAGAATCTATATACTCTGGTGTAGAGAACTCCAAAGATTCACAATGGATTTTTAGAAAAAATTTCTCATCTTACACAAAACAACCTTATAATAAGAGTGTAGAAGGTTGAGGGGTGACCTTATAGAAGTTTATAAAATCATGAGGGGCACAGATAAGGTGAATAGCAAGGCTCTTTTCTCTAGAGTGGAGAACTTCAAAACAAGGGGGCATATTTTAAGGCCAGAGGAAAAATATTTTAAAAGGACATGAGGGGCAACTTGTTTACAAAGAAAACGGTTTGTATATGGAATGAACTGCCGCACAAAGTGGCGGATGCATGTACAGTTACAACATTTGAAAACATTTGGATAAGTACATGAATAGGAAATGTTTGGAGGGATATGGGCCAAATGCAGGCAAGTGGGATGAGTTCGGTTTGGGATCATGATCGTCGTGGACTGGTCAGACAAAAGGATCTGTTTCCATGCTGTCCAACTCTATAACTCTAAGCAGTGATCCTTGTGGCATTTGACTGCTTGCAGCTTACTAAGCCAAAAATTACCCATTTATTTCTCTTTCCTGTTTTCTGTCTGTTGACTAATACACAATTCATTAAACTATCACCTTTAATCTTATGAGTCCTAACTTTGCATAACAACTTTACACGTAGCATCTTATTGAAATAGCATCTATTTCGTTTTTCATTTGCCCATCTTTTCTAAAAGTCACATAATTCTAATAGAAATGCAGATGTGCAGTTTCCATTATTGATGGCTGATCTATACCGCTAGTGAGTAGAAAATTGCAAATTGCAAATCAACTCCCATGTCCCTTTGCATTGACCTAATAATTAACTTTTCCCATCTCTCTCCTTCTTACTCCTCCTTGTAGCAGCATTATGTTTCACTCTATTTTTGAACCCTCTTCCTCTTTACCACTTCGGCTTTTTGAACAGTCTAGTCAGTAAGCGTCTATTCCCACACTTTTTGGATCCTAACCTTGAGATTGAAGATTCTTTTAGTATTATTCCTGGAAAAAGAAGATAGGGTCAAGGCTGACACTTTAGCGCTGGGGGAGCACTGTACAATCGGAGATGTTGTCAGTTGCTATCTAGGGCTGGTGACCAGCTGAAGTTTCACTCAACCCAGTGTCAAATGTATTAAAGATCAGACCAACGAGCACAGATCAGAGTCAAGCAGATCTGAGGGTAGATCATCAAACTGTGACACTAGTCCAGATTTACTGGACTAGTCATTTTTATCCTGAAAATGATAACAATCTCAGCAGTTTGTACATGTGCAGAATTACATAGATTACATTGTGTAGACCAATATGTCCTCTCAGGTGGACAATGCGTCATCGAGTCATACAGCATGAAAACAGAGACATAAATGATACCTTTGCATTATTTCAGACAAGTTCAGGGAAGCTAAATATTTATTCCCGATTGAACATTGATAAAACTGGTCGTGGTCAACTTTTCTGTTTGTGGGAGTTTGCCATGCACAAAATAGCTGCTGTGTTTCCTCTAATGACAATAATTACAACATTTTGGTGGCACAGTGGTTCAGTGGTTAGCACTGCTGCCTCACAGGGCCAAGGATTCCACCCTCGGGCGACTGTCTGTGTGGAGTCTGCACATTCTCCCCGTGTGTGCCTGGGTTCTCTCCTTGTGCTCCGGTTTCCTCCCACAGTCCAAAGTTAGATGGATTTGCCATGCTAAATTGCCCACAGTATCCAGGGATGTCGAGGCTGGGTGGATTGGCCAATGGGAGGTGCAGGGTTACAAGGATAGGGTGGGCAGATGTGGGTCAGGGTGAGATGCTCTTCAGAGGGTTGATGTGGACTCAATGTGCCGAGGGGCCTGTTTTTGCATCGTAAGGATACTTTAGAAATACTTAATTGACTGGAGAGTACCTTGGGACTTAATAACATCATGAAATGTGCAAAATATATGCAAGATTACTTTTCTTTTCCTTTCTCTTCACTGCCAAATAAAAGCAAAAAGTGACTGGATTTTTCCAAAGTTTCCATATGAGCTTGTTAGCATTGTGGGAGTCTGTGTTAATCTGAATGGCTTCTTGAAAATTCCACATTTTTTTCCCCTTCCTCCAGAAATTTTACTTGTCTGAGATTTTCAACCCATATACCCTCTCCCCTCCCCCAGTGCTTCCAGCCTCAGACTGAATTTGTCTTTTATATCCTTCAGAAGAGTTATTGGGACTTTAGGGATCTTAAATATTCCACCTTTCTTAAAAAATGAAGGATTATTCATGAGCCTGCAACTTGCAATAACCCATCAAGATATGCTGGGTAGAAGAATACGTTGGTTTTTAAACTTAAATACTTAAGTTCTATTCTTCCTTAATACTATTTAAGTCAGACTGGATCATTTTGTCAGTTGTTAAACAGAGCTCAGAATCAGAAATATAAAATTCTTATTGACTGATTATTTTTGTTAAGGTAGCTCTGATGGTGGAACTCCAATTTAAAACTGGCCTCATACAATGTGTTTCAGTTCCCAATAATGTTATACAGACACTGAATTAAATCAGAAAAGAAGATAATCTGAAGCTGCCTTGTTCTATACATGGCTTTGAATATACTTGGGGGAGGGGAGAATGCATTATACTGGCTCATAGCTAGAGTCAGATTCAAACTGGCCATAATGATGTGAATCATTTGTGCTCTGATTAACTGAGAGTAGTTTTTTTTAGCATTTAGATTCGCAATTGAAGGTGCCGTTTTGTGCCTGGCATTACTTAGGGTTTGAATGGGGAGGAAACCGGTAAAAATGAACAGAGTATTATAGATACCATTCTTAATGCAAGGTTGAGACTATTGGGAACATGCCCCATGAGTAGTGGACTTTCTAGATTTTTTTTTATGGAGGCTAAACAATTAAGCATCCCTTACAGAATTGCCATCCAAAGGATGAAGCAGTGGAAAGGAGAATGACCATTATTTGTAGGAGCACTGGTAGCACACTGACTGACAGCACTGAGTGGGATGGCTAACTCAGCGAGATGTAGGAAACTGAAGGTGTAGTGATTATAACAAGGTCAGCCAGATGGACCTTACAGAATATGAGTTCCCTGATTGGGGCTGTTAATCTGGCCCAATCAGGGAGCCCTGGCTGTCAGAAATAAACAGGAGTGTCAGAGGTTTTGTTCACTCTGAGAGCTGGCTTTGAGGGAGTTGGATCAGTGTCAAGGACTCTCATTGTGTAAATGAAGGGGGACTTGGTGATGGGATACTGGCCTCTATGGAATTATTTCATAACGTGATTAGTTTGGAGATGGAGAAGGCTCTCGTGCTGTCTGAAGGAGGTGGTCAGTTAAATGTCCTTCATGTTTGGTTAAAAGGAAAGTACAAATCCAGCAACTTGTGGACTCCACATGTGTGCAAAATCAGGTGGAAATCAGAGCTTCTTCTCTGTTATTATATGCTTCTCCAGAATGTTTTTTTAACCCTTACACTGTTAATCTCACTTTAAAACGCTTAGAAAATTCAAATCTTGTTATAGTCTGAGAATTAGGGCTAGACTGTTTAGGAAAGATGTTAGGAAGCACTTCCACACATGAAAGGGTGACGGGGATTTGGATCTGTCTTCAACAAATGGCAGTAGATGCAAGTTCAGTTATTAATTTAAACCTGAGACAGATAAATTTTTGTTCAGCAAAAATTAATGGATACGGGCCTAAGGCCCATGGAGTTGGGCTACAGATGATCCATAATCTAATTGAATGGTGGGACAGATTTGAGGGGCTGAATAGCTTACTCTGGTTCCTATGTTCTTAATTATATATTAATTTATCATGATTGGCTCCCCCCATCCTCCGCCCACCCCCCAGAGGATAACAGGCAGAAGCCAATCAGCCTCACAAAACTAATTTTAACTAGAGGTTGCAGAGGAGATGAGCAGCTCTACTGAGGTCAAGGTTGTGGAGCACATTCAGAACATGACCTCCTGAGTGCCAGGAAGGAGGCACTGTGCAACTCTCAGCTCCTTAGACTTCAGAACAGATATCCTTTGAAGAACACAGTGTGGCACTTTGGGGAAAAAATTCTGTCAAGGTTCCTCCCTCAATGTTATTTTGACAGACATCGCTGACCCAATGCTCCCCACTCCGCAGTACTACCAGCCCCTAGCCACCAAATCTCATGCCCATGTCTTGATCAAAGGCCTTACAAGTCCTAACTCTCTGCCTTTTTTGATTGCAGGAGAAGAGAGGCTACAGCTTCTGGGAAAACTTGGAATGGAGCTGCATCCTTGGCCAACCTGCCAATACATGAGGATGCACTGAAAATTGGCAGGATGGAGCCAATGTCAGGCTGTCACTGATGGTGAGATGGATTGGTATAGAGACTGGGCAAAAGCATTAATGATCACACTTCCATTTAGCCCTAATTGTCAATGATGAAAACTGTAAGCTGCCACAGTCCCATAGGCTGCTTGCTCATTTAACCTGAGAGTCACCGCGTCTCCAGCAAAGATTGAGAGAGCAGGGCCTTCATGTTGACCTCAGCTTGGACAGGAATTAAACTTGCTCTGTTGGTATCACACTGCATCTCAAACTAGCCAACTGAGCTGTCTGATTCCTGGCTGCTGGAGAACCATTATCACCGGCATTGTGATAGCAAAATGATAGGAACTGATCCTACTGTCACCGACATGACATATGTCCTTCATCTTGTCCAGAGGAACAGTGAGAGTTGAGGTCGAAGACAGGGTAGTCCTCAGAGATGGAGCTTCAGCATGAGGAAGCAGTGTTGCACAAATCATGCATATCCTTCACCATTGATGGCTACTCCACCACAGATAAATAGAAAAGCACATTGTGAGGTGCTTTTCATGTGGACATAAAGGCACAGATGGCACTGGAGACATGGTAATGTCCAAGGCCAGCCAAGACTGGGGATTGCAAGTCTGGGGGCAATAAACCCAAGGAGTATTTGTGGAGCAGACAGAGAAAATGTGTGGCCATCTGTCAAAAACTCCAAGGTCATGTGCACCCAGGAATTGATGAGTAGTCCACTTCTGTAATGAGTGCTGTGATGCCACAGGTAATTTTTGTTTTCCTTTTGCCCATGGTTAGAGGTCTTGTGACACACTGTTTGTGTTATCTCAACCCAACCACAGGACTTGATGGCAAAGAAGGGGAGTTCAGAGCATGGCCAGTTGGTCAATCTGAAAATTCTTCCAACACACTCTGGTGGCAGGCTGTAGGAGTAGAAGAGATTCTTGGTCAAACACGATGGAAAGAATGTTGGAGCCTCGACCGTCACCAATCAGCGCTCCCTGTATGTGAAAGTGCATGTTCCTACAGCAGCCAGACTTCTCGAGTGATCTGTAACCCACCAGCCACAACATGTCCACTGGAAAAGTGGTTAAGCTCAAGGGAAACTCACACGCTGCAGGCCAATGAGTGGATGCAGGCACACACTTCTGGATATGACAAATTTGAAAAACACTAATCAAATAGTTACCTTGATGGCTGAACACTGCATTCAAATGTCCTCCACATTTTGTTAAGAGGCAACTGTAAATCCAGGAACTTGTAAAGTCCACTAACATGCAGAATCATGTGGCGACCGTATGTTCTTGTCTGTAATTCTATGCTTCTCCAGAGGGTGCACTGTTGAGCTGCTGTCTAAATTATAATCAATGAAATTCTATCACTCTTACAATGTTAATCTTACTGTATAACACTTGAAAAAAATTACAACTGGTTGATGAAGTTCATCGGGGATTTAATAACTCTTACCAAACAGTCTCACAGGCCATAAAAAGACATTATATATTTATGGGATTTTAAATGGCTCCATTATAATAAACTTTTAAAAATAAAATTAGAATTTATCTATTGTGATCGCTGTCTGGAAAATAATTAAATACTGTGCTTTTAAATTGGGGAGCTGTCTGTGAGAATCCTGCAATGTGATTGGCTGTCTCCCTGCATGTTGAGATCATTGTTATTGGACATCTGGAAATCCTTTTAGAGATAGTAGGAACTGCAGATGCTGGAGAATCTGAGATAACAAGGTGTAGAGCTGGATGAACACAGCAGGCCAAGCAGCATCAGAGGAGCAGGAAGGCTGATGTTTCGGGCCTAGACCCTTCTTC